AGAAATAGCAAGGAAAGGAAGGAGCGTAGAAACCCAGCCAAAATAGCTCGTCCCCAAGCAGGATCGACGGGGAGGTCGAAGTTGTGAAGTGGTAATGTGCGGCCATAGGTAGACTGAAGCATACCTTGTAAAGTAGGGAACATGCAAACCGAACGAAATTTGAATCGTACAAGTATGGTCAGTTGTAACGCCCTGAAAAACATCGTTGACCAGCAGGGCCGACCAAAATGGGTTTTTTAAACAGGTGCTCATCGAAGGAAAATCATTCAAAAAGCTTGGATTATATGATGAAATTAGAAAACGACAAAATACAGAAATGTTTCTTTAAAAATAAAAGTTATGATGGCTGCGTACGCTCTTCGTTGACGAGTTACGTAGAGGATCCGACAGAATACATTGATCGGTTTCGACCTTGCTGCTTCAAGTTTAGTGCAAAAACGCATGATCGCATCGGCAAGCCTGGTGTGTTCCAGCCTGAGTTGCATTTGCATAAACATGCAAAAACGTACCAAAAATAAGGTGCGCAACCACCTTCTGTCTCAAGAACAGGGCCATTCTAAGTAAATATATTTCTCATGAAGGCGACGGAATTACAAATCCAGTTACATCGCTAACTACTTAAAAGTAAATCCTCCTCTCACTTCTCTTTTATCTCCACATCGTTTTCTTGCTCTTTTTCTTTTCATTTCTCTGTTCCTCTGCTACTTGGGCACATGCTTTGCATATACACAACGAGTAGGAAATTGTGCTACTCCCACTCGCATGTGGCATTCAGTCTGCGTTTGTAGCTAAGGGATGAGACACAGACTACATTTTTTTTAAAATATTTCTTCTTGCACTTCTTACTTGGTCTGATCCCTTATATGTCCTTGTTTGAATCACCGCACATGTTTACTGAAACTTTCTCGTAACAAACATACAACTATACGTTTGGCATAACCAAGCGCGTGATATATTGTATCTTATTTGATAAATAAGTATATTTTAATGTAAAATTAATGAATACTAAGATGAAAAGACAGAATTTTATGCGAGACAGTGACCGGGATAATTGCCAGCTCTTTTTTACTGAGGTTTAACCCAAGCGTGATTTCCTGAGA